CTTCTCTCTCTCTCTCTCTCTCTCTCTCTCTCTCTCTCTCTCTCTCTCGCACGTGCGGAAATGTTTATGTTTACATATGTATATGTATGAAATGCGCAATTCCTAATTCTCTTACATGGTTATATATGTACATGTATTTGCGATATCGTGTACACGCGTCAACTAGAAAAAAACAATCGGCTCACTTCTTTCAAACATGCGCTCGTAAGTAAAGTTTCATTGTCGCATGACTAAAATTATAAAATTAATATATGTGTGTTGTTTTTTTTAATAAAGAATGACTCTATCTTTAGTTTTTATGCGGAAGGGAGTATTGTAGTCTTCTCAAGTCTGTTTGAATCTAAAAGGAAAAGCTGCTGTCGCGCGTTGGAGTGTACGCATACTGACAAAGATATATCGGGGAAAACATTATTTTATTAACCCTAAAGAGCACAAGAAGGATCTATCGAAATTTCATAAAGTTCATGAATATTGTTCATCTTAATAAATACTGAAAAGAATCTATTTCTTCTATAATATATAAGCTATTTTTGAAAAAATTATACTTTTAATTATAATTTTATTTATAGAAACCCAGGAACATTATATTGTGCGTTTATACTATAAATTTACTTGTGCTTTTCAGGATTAAGAAGTAATTAGGATTCCTAGTCGTGAACGAATAAAATAATACAATATATAATTATTTTCTCTAATTAATGTGTATAAAATGATAGTAAAGTATAACTAAAGTGGTACTAGAAATAATAATAAAGTGAGATTGATCGATACGATTCAATTGGCCTCAAAGATATGAGCATTTATAAAACATTTTGTAAACACAATAGATAAAGCTCCGGCAGAATAATGATGTGTTAACTATTCGTATAAGTATTGGTTTTGTCGGTGTCAAACCATATTTTGCATATAGTTGCACGTTACAGACTTATCTTGCAACATGATATTTAACCACTTATGCACAATATTTCATTATAATATATGTGTATCTGTGTCTTTTTTTGTTATTTATTCGCCTAATTATGCGGTAGTGGTGTAGTAATCATTTGCAAGTAATAATCATAACAATAATAGTAATTTATTATATAATATTTATAGCTCTCTTCTTATAGTACATCGCGGTTTTTTGTTTTTACCTCATAAAAAGATACTTTGCTTGCGTTTCGCTTAATATTCATTCATTGACATGTAACCACAGCGGCCCAAAGAACTCTCAACAAGTAAACACAGCCTTCGGGCCCTCGGTAGCGTTTGTAGAACCGGTTAATCTGTATAATCATTGCAATTTTCCTTTTTCTCTCTTTCTCTCGATTCTCGATCGCATGCGACTGACTTTGTGTGCCAGGACGGTCTGTCGAACGTTATCCGACACTGAATTGCAACGTATAATTATTACTCGGTCTTATCAGTGTTGTTACAATGCTCTTGAAGCGAATCAAGACGTAGCAAAATAAAGAAAAATCTATCAAACAAGCGAGTACCGAACGCAATCTAACTTGTCATGTCTAAAGACAGAGGAGAAGTCTTCTTCTTTAATAAGAGATTATTTTCATTCTACATGAATTTCTTCCTTTTTCCTTTGTTTTTTCATTTTCCTTCCGCACAGAATATTACGTGTTAACAATTATTTTACTTATTTATGCGGCTCTAATACAGTATGAAGCTAAATCGCGTTAAACTCAATTGTATATACTCTGATCTCACGACATATGAGTTCTCTATATTTATTGTTGCCTTAAAAAAAGAGCATCCTAACTCCTCATGTAGATTATACTGTTTTTTTCTTCCCTACGGTGCGAAACGTCAATTTGCAAAATCACAGAGAATTACGCATCGTTACACTGTTATTTAGGATTATTCCTAATCTTCTTTTCCACGATGTGTGAGCTACATATTCTCTATAAATGTCTAGGCCTGCTCTTCGTCGTCTTTGAGATCTTCATTCTTCGCTGCGTCCATCCGTCCTTTTTATCTCTTTTTGCTTTTTTAGTATTGCATTTGATGCGACGCTGCGATTATTCTCAATGAAGAGGCGCGGCGCAAAAGAACGCGGCTCCATGTTCTCCAACCAAGATGTAAATGTTTCCTTTTTTCTTTTCATTTTGCGTTCTCATAAAAGATTAAAACTTTGCGACGTATGAGATGCTTCTTCATCATCATCATCATCATCTAAAAGGCGTCGTAGAAAGTTGGAAAAACAAGGGGGCCAAATGTGTGAAAGTTTCTCCTTTGCTTTTCAAATTTTTTCTTTCCGTCGCAAAAAATATTTTGTAATATATAATATATATTGCGTTGAGATTTTATATATATATATATATATATATATATATATAAT